TGCCCTAAGAGGTATCATATTTAGGGGAAGATTTGGTCAGATTATTTTTGGGGAAGATATTGCAGAAGCAGAAAGATAACAAACACCACAAACAAAAAAAACCACCATAAACAAGCAAAAAAAACCATCTGTGTTGTCATCATTTAAGAGCAAACACATACAAATGGTAATATTCTGTTTAGCCTTTTAAGCAGAAGAATCAGAGAATCCCAGAATATCCTGAAGGGGAAGGGACCCACAAGGATTGAGTGCAGCTCCTGGCCCTGCACAAGGCACCCCAACAATCACACCATGATAACCAGAGATTTATGATAGCTGGCAGCTCCTTAAATCTAGCACAAAAAAGTGTGCATGGCAGGCAGGAACAGGATCCAAACCCTGCTAAAGAGTCAGCATTAATTGCCCAGTGAAACTGTGATCTATTTTCCATTCCACCTGACACAATCAAGATAATCTTTCTAAAAGACAAATTCCACCTCAAAAAGAATTCCTGCACTTGATGCAGAAATTAAGAGACAAGAGATTCTTGTCTATTCTATGCCAGAAGGTTGGACAAAATGCTTTTAATGGCTCCATATAGCCTGGATGTCTCTTCACATACATTTTGAATTAACTTCAAGATGAAGCAGTTTTGCTGCCCTCAGTCCCACGTGGCCAGGACACACCTGGAGAAATGACTTGGGCAGGAACACTTCATTGCCTTCTCTTAGAGAAAAAGAAATGGGGACCAGGTGCTGCTAAAGCCCTGGACACAAGAGGAATCGTGGTCAAACCATGACTCCCTCCTGGCTTTGCCAAGGATAAGATGCTGCAATACCAGACCTAAGGCCATGCCAGGAGTGCTGCAGTGGCACACCAGATACTGCTCAGAGAACTGAGAACTGCCTTCCAGTGTCCCACGGTCTGCTTTAGCCAAGCAGGATAGTCTCCAGGGACATATGGATTAGACATCTCTGAAAAAAAACTGCTTGATATTTAATTGCAGGGTTGGCAAGTGCTTCCATGATATACAGTGTATGGAATAAAATTACAGGGACAGTATCAGTGAGTAATAAACAGTATAGACAGTTTTCATCAGGAATTAGCCAAGGATTTAGAGCAAAAAGCATCGTGGGGCACATAGAGTGCTTGCTGTATTAGCATTATCTCTGCACACACAGGACAGCACTCGTTACAAATACCTGAATGAATCATCTAATGGATGTGAAGGCAGGACACTCCAGCACTAGCTGGGGTCCTGTGCTCATGGAAACACTGCTGAGGATTCAGCTTATCTCTCAGAAGCACAGAGCTTCTAAAACTCTATTTTTCTGGAGTATCTCTAGACAGTGGAAAACAAAAATTGGAAAAAGCCAAAATTGTAACTGAAGAGTTTCAGATCCACTGAAAGAATTCAGTTTAGCTTAGGATGCTAATTCTTATTTAAAAGCTGCAGCAGTCTCAGAGTGGACTTCACAACAGAGGCCAGAGTTAAGGGTCAGAGCCTGTGCAGGGCTCTGCTCCCAGCAGCACAGGCAGGTCCCAAGGACATGCCAGCAGGGAGCCAGTGTGATGTGATGGAAATGCTGAAGCTGTGTCTGAGCCTTGCAGCTTCATAAATGTCTGTAACCCCTGGAGGAAAGGAGGATGTGAGACCTCTTGGGGAGCTGGCAACTTCCCAGAAGCCTTCCCTCTCTCCAGTCTTCTATGCACAGTGTTAATGCACATCCCAATAGCTCTTCTCTTCCCAAGGGCAGCAGTGTTTTACACAAGCCCCTTCCAGTGGTGCCTCTCCCACCAAGAAACTGCAAGGATTTAAACCTGAGACCACCATGCAGGGAAACTTCAGGGCTTTCCTGAGAAAGTCAGTGCTACTGTTCTTCCTTCACTCCTTGACTTCAAAGCCTCTGTTTGAGAAGGTTCATGATCTCCTTGCTTTCTTCCTGCCCACGTCTGTCCCCATGGAGCTGTGCTGCTGGAACATCCAACCACCACAGTCAGCACAGAGAAGGAGCACAGTGCCCTGACTGACTCCTTGGCCACTAAAACTGCCATCAGAAGAGCTCAGTTGGGAAATACAGTATTTTTCATGCTTCTTATCCCTGAAAATGACATGGAGATCATGTAGCTCTTGTCTCTATGTTTTCCTTCACCAAACTGCCTCACAATTTCCCCACAAAATGCAATTTGTCAGACACAGTGAACACAAACTATATGAGCTGTATCCATTCATTTGGTGTCCATGGCTGCAGCAGCACCATAATGAGTTTGTGCAATATCAATATGCACTACACTAAACAAGCATAAATCAGAGACTATCCCAAGGAAACACCAAGACAGAATCAGACAAGTGCAGACAAAGAGCTCTGACAGCATTTCAGTTCCATGTGATTCCTGTAGCTGACATCCATCTGTACTGAACTGTGCACAGCAGATGCACTGTTACCTTAAAGGAGTGACTGTGTTATGTTAAAATCAATCTTCACTAAAAGAATAATTAATGTACCGAGAAACTGAGTGCTTCACAAAGGCAACAGAAATCTATGTGTCTTTCTGCACATATGTATTACCTCCAGAAAACACCTCTCTGCAAAGGAAATCAGGAGGGTTTTGATGGTGCAGGGCTTCCAGCTTGGCCCTCTCTGACCTCTCTGATCTGGGTCAGACAACTTGGCTCACAAACTGAAAACTTTTGGCAAAGGGTAATTGCAGCTTTGTTCAAATGTTAGATTGTTGTACCAAAAAAAAAAAATTCTCAGCAACAGGAGTTACTGAAAAGATAATGCAGTCTTGCTACTGATATTAAATTGAATTGCAAAGAAAAGCTCCCACTGTCTTTAGTGGTACAAGATCACAGTTTCAAACCAAGACGGGAAATTGTGAGCTGAGGAAAGGAGATGTCACGTCAAGAATGTGATGGAGGCTCTCTGTATGGCATAAATAAGGCCTGGGGTCTCTTCCTGCAGCTCTGCTGATTTCAAGGAGATCACATGTGCAAGCAGCTGCAATGGTGTGCTTTGAAGCTGGGAAAAGGCTTTGTGAAAGTTATTGGAATTTTTGTATAGCAACACCACCACCAACAATGCTAATGATAATAATAAAAATAAACGCCTGTGTTTTCATTCCATGAATATCCCAGTCACCATGTTAGTTGCCCAAATAACACTTTGTAAATAAATCTTTCAGAATATTAATTCTAGGATCTTTATTGCAATTACCTCAGCTCTAGTGGGCTCCTCAACTGGGCTGGTACCAAAGACAGAGGGCAAAAGGAGCTGTTGAAAAAGCATGTACATTTTTCTACTAAGCCTATCTCCTTTAAATGTGTCCCAGTTTTTCCAGCCAACATGGGAGTGAGATGAATGTAACAAACCCAGTATGTCAGACCCTGCCCTCTCAGGCTAAGCTCCAGTGATTTACATCCCTGTGACACTGAGTACCTTCCAAAGGTGACTGCTGTCCTTCCCTTCTTTCCTCAGAATTCGTCAGGAAACCTCTCCAGAGACACCTAGTAGTAAACCTGACTTATTTCAGGTGACCACCAACTAACTCTTGTAGCCACAAAAAGAAAGTTTCTCACTTATTGCTAAATCATGCATTGTCCCCACTACACTGTCTTTCAGTGATGCAGGAGAAATGCTACATGATTCCAGACATCTCCAGTTTCCTTGCCTTTAATACAGCAGCAATTTCCTTCCAAACTGACTATTAAGATCAGATTTTGTCTTCCTTATTCCCAGGAAGCACTGATTTCCTGTGGGGTATGGCCAGAGCATGGACACTGGCTCAGATTATACACTCAGCTCTTTCACTCACCTCTTCCCTGTCTCACGTGCTGAAATCAGTTCACACCTGGGCATGAATTTGGAATTACCTCAGCTAAGGATAAATGTGTCTAAACCATGAGGAATAAACACCAGCATTTCAAAGGGACTACACTTGGTATTTAAACTGTGGCTTTGGACCAAAAGGAGCCTGGAGAGAAAAGAAGTCCCTAGTTAAAACACACCTGATGCCTGTGTGAATGCCCTCACATTAGTAATGCATGTCACCATCTCTTACTTATGTGAGAAGGGGTGGCAACTGAGCTGTGAAAAGGCTGGAGCCAAGCACAGAACAGGCAGAGCTCAGACCTGTTGAGGAGGGAAAACAGATTCCAGACGTGTGACTTAGCTCCTCACCTGCAGCAGGGCACAGGCATGTAGGACAGGACTCAACACCCCAGAGCTCCCACAGCAGGGCTGACACTGCTCTGCAGCTGTCAGGAGTTAGTGGGCAGACAAAGACACCTCCAGAAAGTAACTTATCCTACTGGAAATGCCCAAGGCGGGCAGCAACGTTCACCCATGCTGCTTCAGTGACACGAAATGAAGTTCAGAAGAAGAGCTTAGATTATATCCCTATCCCTTAGATGGCTGGAGTTGTGTGAGCTGAATTCTCCCTGAACACTCTGTGTGCTTCGAGTCCCTACATTGAGTGAAGAGCATTTCCTCCCCTGACAGGGAGGGTGCAAAGATCAGCCTGCCAAGCTGTGCCATGTGCTCAGCACAAACACACATTTGGGAAGGGGGGGGGCTGTGAAAGCATCACGTGCGAGCAGGAAAAGGGGCTGGGTTGGAAATCTGGCTCCAGAGACAAAAGCTGCATTATCTGCATACTCCAGCTGCCCTCAGTTACATCAGTGCCAGCCCTGCCAAGACAGCAGGGTGGCAGCAGCAGGGCTGAGCACTTCCTGGCCACACCACACTGCAGATGCAACACTGCTTGACTTCAGGAGCCTCAGCTGTGCTTTCAGGACAGGCAGCTCAAGCTGAGCCTTTGTTCACTCAAGGCTGGGCTACTAATTTAGAATTCACTGAGGCACGATGAACAGGGACAGTGGCAACATTTTTATAGCCACTCTCTTTACAATGGGAGCTTGTAATTCCCAAGGCAGTGCTGGCCTGTGTTTGATTGGTGTACTTAAATCTCCACCTGTGCTTTCATAATAACCAATATTTTCTGTCAGAGCTTGCTCTTACCCTGTTGGAATCAATTCTTGTCCTGGAGGTGTAGATGGGAGGAGGAATGTTGAACGCTTGAGGAACAAGGTACTCTTCAGCATCCATCATATCTTCCAGGTCTTCTTCATCAAGAAGATTTTGGAAGAACTTGCTGTCATTTGGGCTTGGGAGCTTCATACGATCATCTCCCTGAACAGATTGTATTGAGAGAGGAAAAACATCAAAAGATGGATTAATTTCCCAAAGAGAGAATTTCAGCCTTCCTAATGTCTTGGCAGCCAGGCTGCAGGGACCACACATGCTGTTGGTTTGTTCAAAAGCACTATATCCACATAATTTGTGGGTTTGTTTTGTTGTTTGTTTGATTTTTTACTGGGAATATGATGACAAAAAAGGAGTAACTGCATGAATCAAGCAAAACCGTTTTTTGGCATTCTTGTGATTGAGCTTTTATTCTTTCTTCTCTTTTTTGCCCATACAAGATCAGTTTTTCATCCCAGTTCTGACATATTTTGTGAAATATCTCAGCTATTTAGGCTCAAATAGGAGGGGTTGGGAATAATAAGGAAACTGGTGTGTCTGGATGTTTGCTTTATTTTAATTTGTACTTTAAGGGACTTAAAAGGTAAATTTCTCTCCTACAAGTATGGAAAGTTCTGCAGAATGTAAGAGAGCTGAAAACAACAAAAATCAAATCAGGGAACAGCAGTGCCTTGAAATAACACCTACGAGCTGGAGATACAAATCTGGGCTGCACTTTGATGGTGCCAAAAAAAACATCACAAAAGGCAGCCCATGCCACAGACACCTATCAGCCTATAGAAACAAAGCTGAACTCCACTGGCTGGCTGGAGAGTGGCCTCCCACTCCTCAAGAGTTATTATGCCACGTGTGGAATCCAGCAGGGAATGATGCCTGTGCTGTGGGGGTGCATGCAGACCCATTTAAAAGCTCACCAGCAAGTTTGTCATTGCTGATTGCACCTGCAGGGATGGGGAGAGGGGATGGCAGAGGTGCCAGTGCAATGCAGTGGCCCTGCACGAGTTTCTCCTCCAGGAGCTCATCTTGTCTGCAAGGAGCACTCGAGAGAAGCTCACAGGATGAAACGCCCACCAGACCATGTAACAGAGGAGGGAAGGGCAGAGGAAAGAGGTTTTTGGAATAAGGAAACATGCCCTATCTAACAAAGTCATTTAATCAGCCTGATTTTCCCAGAATCAGCTGAGCTTCCCACAGTGGGGAATACTGCAAGAGCAATTCCTCATTCAGCACCAAAATTCCTCTTGTCTAGTATTTCACTTCCCAACCATATTTTCCCTGTGCTGAAGCTGAAGGGGAGCAGGATGATTCACAGTGTGCAGGAACACACCACAAGTCATCTGGCAGCTCTGCCCAGTGAAATCAAACACCACACTGTAAAACTGGCACTGGACCCATTCAGGAGACATGAAGTGGCACTGGCTGTACTTCTGGAGGCTTTTCCACTAGGAATTCTTACATGAGTGTGAAGCTGAGGATCAGCTCAGTGCACCTCTGCCCTGTGCTCCATGATGTGGAGCAGATACAGCATGAGATGGAGCATGGGAATATCATGATTCCCTGCATCAAACTATTCCCATTCTCTGCTCTCTGGTGTTCCACCATCACCTCCCTTTTAGGTTTTCATTTTCTTTTGAACTGCTCACACACTTACCTAACAACCTTACACTTTCTGTGGCTGCAGTCTGAGCTGTAATAAACACACACACACAGGTCCAGGCTGCCACAGAATTAGGGAAGGACACTCCAGCTACCTGTACTGACCAGGTTCCACAGGGCAGATTCATGGGATGAACCCATGAAGGATGAACCCTCCACAACCCTGTAACAAGGATGTGAAGCCTCCAGAGCCCTCAGAGCATAAACAGAGAGGGAAGCTCCTCCCCAGCACTAGAGGTACCAGTGTAACACAACTCCCTGCCTTCTAAGAAACTTTCATGTTTAGGCTGTGAAAAGAATCCTGCTTGTGATCTCAGCAGTGCAGGGAAAAGACTCAGCCTAATCAATTTTAGAACCAAGGAAGTCTTTGGTCTAAAAATAGATCCACTGTCCACCGATGGACAAAATTTGTCCCCAGTTTCATGAAGGAATGCAAAGCACTGAGCAGCTTCCAATATGTATATGTGCTCAAAAGCATGAGCTTAGGAAGGAATTTCAGATTGTTGTATTATTAATATTATTATTTTTTGACATACTGACACTGTCCATTCTACTTCATGCTTGTATAGCATTGTGGTCACTGTTTGAACTTCACCTTGAACTTCAAAAGATTCAAAGGCAATGCCCCCAACAGATCGGTGTGACAGAAAGAATTCTTTTTCCCCACCCCTGTGATGCTGCAGGGTTGCTTACCTGAATTACCAGGTATCTCTGAGGATCTCGAGCCATTCTAGAGAATTCAGCAGCCAGCTCCTTGAATTTTGGCCGACTATCAGCATCAATCATCCAGCCTGGATGAAAGATGAGAAAGAAAGCAGTTAAGTGTCGAGATGGAAATAATGAAGTTTTTTTTTTTTTTTTAAATGCACAAGTTTGAAGTGCTTGATAGCTGTGGCCCAAAGAAAAGTTGCAATAAAGAACCCAGAAGAATGGAAAGTTAGAATTCTATGATGCATAAAATGGGAAACACCTGGTTTTGACCAGACCAGACTGTTCCTTACTGCATGGAATTTTTCTTAATTTGCTGGGCTCCTCTCTGTCCCAGAGACAGCAACACCACCTTGCAATTTTCTCCATCTTGCACACTCAGATACCAGCACTGACTGACTTTTATTAAGGATGTGTCTCACCAGATGGGACATTTTTACACTCAACAAAGCCCTTGCACAATTTAATTTCCACACCTCCATGCACAGTACAAGCGTTTTCAGAAAATATTTAATTTACTTCTAGTTGTCCTTTCCTTTTTTTTTTTTTTTCCAGGGCTTTTGTGTACAAAGCAATAGGGAAAGAAGAAGAAGTATATGTGATGGATGAGATGTCTGTATGTTAATCTCACTTAAATTAAGCTAGAAATATCAGAGAGATATTTCTAATTCTTTTTAAATTAGAAGCATAACCTTGGAGGATACTGTCATTAGAGGGGGTATCTTGGAGATAAAAAAGTTGGAAGAAACCATGTGCAGACTTTTTTCCTTTTTTACTAGAGTAAAAATATTCATAAATTTTTGTACTAGACTAAGAATGATAAAAAATAATCCTCTCTGTAGAATTTCTTCTATTAATTTTACTTTTTATTATTACTATTGCAATCATCATGCTTGCTACTAACAACAAAACATTTGTGATTTCTTTCCTCAATATTTAGAAAGGGGAATTTCTCCTCACAGCCTTCTCTGGCTGGGTATCCACGTGCCATAATTATGTTTAATTCTATCTTTTTTACATCAGAATCAATTGTCATGGAAATGACAAGGGTTTACAGTAACAACCATACAATTTTGACTTCACAGCATGTATGTGAGATAACATCTGACAGTAATAGGAAGCTGAGCTAACTCGGCCCTTCATAGCTAACAATTGCAAAATTGCAAAAGATGTGCAGAGACAGTATTGAAATGGAATTTACAGTGTCCTGGGAAGCTTTTGTTTTACAGCAGCAGCTTGCAAAAGAGTTTCCCAGCTCTGTCAGAGGCCGCCTGTGCAAATGTTCTAAAGCAGTGTCCCTCCTGCAATGGGCTCGGGGCTATCAGAAGTGACAATTGCTTACACTTCACCATGACCATATAAACATCAATGGTGCAGATCGGGGGCTGCGGCAGCCGCTCTCCCTTCTCCAGCAGGTCGGGGATCTCTCGAGTTGGGATTCCATCGTAGGGCTTCCCACCAAACGTCATCAGCTCCCAGATGGTGACTCCTGGGCAGGGGAAAGAGAGTCAGGCTTGGAGGTCACTCAGGTTCCCTCACCCCCTCTCACAGCAGAGTATCCTGCCCCAGCTCTGGACTGCAGTCTCCTCCTCTTCACCACTAGCTGGGAAAACACTGTGGGGACAGCAGGAGTTGAGCAAGTGGCCACACAGTGCTTGGCTGCCATCTGGGCTTAAACCATGACAGCCTGACACTTAAAAATTCTGGAAAACGGTGAAGCAGCACTTTGTGGTAATCTTCAAAAGCAGCTTTGCTCATTTTTATAGGTGTAAGAAATGGTATGATAGACCTGAGGCACACGGGGAAGGAAGGTCTGAGACAAATGAAGGGCGGTAAAGTAAATGGGTGCAATAACAAAAGAACGCATCACACTCTTTTATCAAAAAGGGAAATGAATGCCTGATGTACTCTATTATTTTAAGGGGGAAAAGCACAGATGCTCCCTCACTTAGAGCATCAATTTCCCACAAAGGTACAGCACTGAGTAACATCAGGTCATTGGCTTTGCCCTGTAAGTCATTCACAGCCACTGCTATCATTTTTCCCTTAAATCACCTTATGGATTTGAGTTTATGATAGTGCTGTTCTACAACATTCTCTTTTTGAAAAGCCATAGGATTTGTTTAGGCTTCAGAGCTGGAAATAAAGATCATATACAATAAGTAAAAAAATTTGTGCCCCAACAGAATCTTAAATATTGAAAACGCTGCTCTCACACATTTTGTTTAACTTTCATTTGTATTGCAAAGGTCATTTTAAGCACGCCTCAGATCAGCACCATATTTTGACAACTGTCATGATAATGTGAAAAGTGATGGGCAAAATTACCACGAGTAAACCGCATTTATTTCACCCTCGTTGCTCTCCTTGTTGATATTAAATAACTATAACTTGTCAATTGTTTTTATTCTTTTCCTTTGTGATTACAGATATTCTGGGCTTCCTGCATTTAAAATGAATTTCATAAATGAAGGCATATTTTTTTCCTGAGTGATCCAGGGCATAGAGGATTTGAAGAGAAAGAGCAGCTTTACAAGATCAATTGAACTCTCCCAGGCTTTTTTCAGCTGACTAGAAGAGAGCAGCTACCCCACCAGAGCAAACAGTGTCTTTTGCTGCTACCCACAGGTAAAAGTGAGTAATGAACAGAGCTGAACACCCTTTTGCTTCCAAATGATATGGCAACAGGAAATGCAAATAGGACTCCACAGCCCCAGATACTGCTGCAAATTTCCATTTGCAAAGGTATACATGATTTTATAAGTAATAGCAATACCAGAATAACAGGCAGAGACCTCAGCAGATGTGGCAAACAGCTCATCTGAATAACCATTAGCAACACTGAGCGAACACCTCATTTCTCAAATATGATTTTTTCTCTCTGTGTGTAGCTCACCAATTCCCAAGTTATCTGTGAAATTAAATAGATGCTTGTTCTAGTTACTTTGGAGAGCTTGTCTCTTTCTTTTCTTTCTCTTGCCATATTTGCTCTGTATTATGACAAATTCCCTTTTATCTGACTCTAGGTAGAGGAAGTCCCATAAGCCTGAAAATGTTTTTTGACATTCATGGCTTTTAGAGTTGAGCTTTTCAAAGACTGCTGAAAATTGTGACCTGCAGCTGTATTTTTATGAATCTGTGGCTAAGCTGAAAGAGGTCTTCTTCTGTCATAATAATCAGCCAAACTGCTACCAGACCAGACCAGACCTCGAGGCACTCACCCCAGTGGGGAACATCATGATAATATATTTCAGTGAGCAGGGAAGTAACACAGGAGACGGCAACAATCGCTGCTTAGAGTTACACATTTAAAGAGAATTAAAAAAAAAAAAAATAAAAAAAAAACGAAAAAAAAAAAAAAAAAAAAAAACTAATAAGAGCAAACACCTCTGGAATTAATTCCTTTGAGAAAAGAGGATATCTTTAACATACTAATACAACTTGGTTTAATGCTTTAAAAGACACAACTTTTTAAACTAAACACGTGAAGATTTACCATAGCTCCACACATCACTCTGATGGGTGAATTTCCTGTAGTGTATGCACTCCAGAGCCATCCACTTAATTGGCATCTAGGGAAGGACAAGAGAAATGTAACCTTAGAAATAAATTATTAAAACAATATAAACAGATCTTAGATGAAGACAACAACTTTCTCCCTGCCTCCTTCGATGGTGAGCTTGACAAAAAGCAGAGGAAATGGCTGTTCCTGCCCTCTAGAATGGGGCTGTGCCTCATGTAACTCGGAGGTGAGGAGGGCAAACCATCTACCTGCAGAACTTCTGCTATTTACTGATTCAGAAGTAGTGGGGCAGCCCATGCTTTCATCAAATCTGTGTAAAGAGGGACCAACACAAAAATTGCATATAATTCCCCTAAATCTGAAGTGCAGCAGAGAAGGTGGAATGCAGAAGCTTTTTTTCCCCCTTAACAGTTTTCAATCTCTGCAATCTGAGATAGCAACACTGCTGTCTCAACTGTTCTCTAATGAGGCCAGATTACAATGCAGTGACCATAACACTTCACTGTCCCCATCATCATCATCATCATCATCATCATTATCATGGTAAACAGGCAATGAGAGAATTTGCAGTGCTTCATTGTTAACTCCTAATATTTATCAGAGACTCAGCCATCCCAGTTCTCTGTATCAGCACTGCAGTGAGAGAATTTGCTCCCCAAACTAAGGCAGCAGCCCCACATTCCTGTGTCAGTGAATGAGCTCAGGGGGAGCTCGTCTCTTCTGACAGAGAAGGCTCAAACCAAACCCATTCCTGCATTACAGCCCATCCTCTCCAGTTCGTGTAAAATGGAATTCCTGGTGTTTCCCATTCCTGAGCTGGGCCTGCCAGGCACAGCCTTGCAGTCTGTGAATTCCTGATGGACAAACGCTCTGGGGGATTTTTACCTGGCAGAGACTTGTATGTGTTGCCTGCAATTTGGAACTATGGAAGAGGTACTGGAATAATCCAAAGGGATGAGTAACTGCAGGAAAAATCTGAACAGATGGTGGGTGTAAAAGCAGAGGATGTGTCTTCATTCAAACCCTTATGAAACCACCTTCCATGAAGTTCACTAATGAGCATAACCTATAGAGTTATGGCAAAAATAGCACCTTGTAATAAAGGCTGCCTTAACTCTTGCAAAGACAGTTCATCCTCCCCCACTAAACTCTGCAGAAGAGCATTGCTTTCATTCCCATTGCATCCCAGATGGGAACAGTTGCTGAAGGAGCAAAGCTGCCTTGTTCATTATGGGATAACTCAGCTTGGAAGAGATTCAGGAGGCCTCCAGTCCCACCTCAGCTTCACAGCAGGTTCAGCTGCCTAGGAGATTAGGCCAAGTTACTCAGAGATTTGTCCAGCCTGAACTTGAAAAACTTCAAGGATGGAAACTGCACCACCTCTGTTGACAACCACTTGATTTTCCAGTCCAAACCACCCTTAGCATGCACTCAATACAACATGATGCTACCAATGTCCTTAGGATTTCGCAGGATGCTTTTCTGGACCTGGGAAGTGATACATCTGACATAAATCCTGCTCCAGAGCTCTCAGCAGGGTAACAAGTCCAAGACACAGCTGGCAGGAAACAGCTGGTTTGCAAGGATCAACTCTTTTTCTGTCATTCACTGTCAGCTGGAGGGAAGAGGCTGAGGGGTTACTGAGAAGAGGATCACAGAAATGAAGGAATCAGGGAAAGCTGCCAAAACCCCACCTTCCCTGGCAGGAGGTACCTTCCCACGGGGAAATGGGAAAGCAGTGGTGGCTCCTCTCAAGCTCTTCACCTCCCTAACTCACCTGCCCAGGTGATCCAAGGGCAGCAGCCACACAAACAAGGCAGCAGCTCATCCCAGAGAACAGCACACACTGCTAACAGCTGCTTGTCCCACACAAGGGCATGAATGAGCACAAAAAAACCACAGATAGCAAGGAGACACAAACCAAACTGAACATCCAGGAGAAGGAATGACAGGTGAAGCAAATCCTTTGGGATTCTGTGACAGACTGAAATGGGGAATTTCAAGATGTTTAGGGAGCAGCCAGAAGCACCACGTACTTCCTGCCTTCTGAATTTTATCATGCATTAATCTGAAATTGGCAGAAATGAGGGAAAGCACTACATGGCCATGGTGTGGTTTGCTGGAAAGAAATAGGGGAAAATATCTGGTTCCAAAATTATCCTCAAGCTGGCTTTTAGTGGCCTGGCATTCAGCATGGTACTGGAGAGGTGGACAGAAGACATAACATACACTCTTCCAACGTGATAGAAGAGCTAAATTCTCATGTTCTGTGGCCTTCCCTTTTGTTTTCACAAGAATTCCTTGTCAGGGAAAATGGGACTGCATTATTGAGGTGTATACTGGCCAGAGAAAGAGGCTGGGCAGGAATGCCCCAGAACATCCATCACTCATTGAACTGAAGTATTCAAAACAAGACACAAACTGGAGCAAGTGAAAAAAAAAACCCTAATTCTGAGCGTGAAAACTGCTCCTGCAATTATATTTCAGTGCCTGGAGAAGCTCCTGTGCAAAAAGTGAGCAGCTTTTCTATGTGCTTTCACAGCACAGTTCTTCCCAGCACTCCCTTACACAGGTAACAGTCCCACAGGGACACACTGACCTGAGAAGGAACTTCAGGAGGTTTGTCACAGCATGGTAGATTTACTTCCAGACATGTTCAGCACTCACCTTTCCCCCATCGGCATTATACTCCTTTTCATCCCCTTCCAAAAGCCTGGCCAAGCCAAAGTCAGTGATTTTCACATGGTTTGGTGATTTCACCAGGACATTTCGGGCTGCCAAGTCCCGGTGGACGAGTCTCCTCTCTTCCAGGTACATCATTCCCTGAAGGAATAAGAACAGAACAATAATGCTAAGAAGTCTCACATGTTTATTGAGAGCTAACTTTCACTGGTGACATGTGAAATGGCTGGTTCAATAATGAGTATTTACAATGAGAGGATGGCCTAGAGGGCAGAAGTTCAACATTGCTCTTGCTCTGAACAGGAGGCAGGATTAGATGACCTTGAGTTTCTGTAAGATTCAAATACCAAAGGGGAAAAAACCCAACAAAATAACATATAGATAACTCTTTTGCTTCAGCAAGCTTAAAATCTGGAAATGTGAGACAAAGAAAAGAAGTATTACCACCCTTGTTCTTCAGACAGGAAATCTGATGACCATAAAAAATAATTTAGACAAAGCCCCCCAGAAATAAGACCACACTGGGAAACAATCCCAGCTCTGCTACATTCCAGACAAGTGTCTTTAATTCAAGATAAGGATTCTTTTCCATCTTCAAATGGTTTTTAAGTTGGTCACAAATTTTCACTATCCTCAGTGGTTTGGAAGGAAAACAATTCTTTATTCCAAGTGCTGTAACTCCCTCACCTTTTCACTCCCTTAAAATATTGCCTGTAGTATTATAATAAGGCAATAGATCAATGGCCTTTTTTAGATGAACATATATATTCTGTTAGAAGTATATTCTGTTAACAAGCCCATCCAGCTGCCTTTAAAGATAAGGTAACATACTCAAACTGCCTGGCCTTAACCTTATTTTTATTCTGATGGCAGACTAACCATCTACCATCAGTATGGAAATTTGCACAATGCTTTGTGACACTGAGATCAACACCAAAGCTTGGTCTTATTAATTATGTGACACACAAAGGATAGTTGGGCAGGGTTACAAGCCTATAATTTCATTTAAAGGCATTTATGACATTAACCACCATTATCAGAACTTAGAGATGAAATCACACACTTGACAATTGCCTTTAAGGTATCTCTTAATATATTAGCTCTATGTAATATATATATGATAATTTTTTAAAAGTCATTGCTGAATACCAAAGAGATCATATTATCCCATAATACAGATGGTAATTCAGAGAGTCACATGTAGTGATTAAAATAACCAGATTACTCAGTGCCATGGGCCAGCTTTTATTATCCCTTCACAGCCTGAGGAGCTCACAGGTACCTGTCCCCACACCAGCTGCCTCCCATGGTCTGTGGCTGCCCAGGGAAAATGTGACTGCCCCATTTCTGGAAGTGTCCAAGGCCAGGCTGGGCAGGGCTTGGAGCAGAAAACACCAACCCATGCTTGGAGCAGCCTGGGATGGTGGAAGGTGCCCCTGCCATGGCAGGGCGTGGGACTGGATGGCTTTAAGGATTCCAGGATTCTAGGAAAGTGGATGTCCAACACAAAAAGCATCAAATGGAGCCCTAAACTTGTTTTAAGTGAAAAATTTCAGTGCAAACACCAGTAAAAGCTTTGAAAATATGTGGGAGAATGTTTGGCATAAATGCTGTTTCATGGAGTCAACATGAAGGGGCTCTGAAGGAGGACACAGGGACTCTGGCATAAAGCAACTGAAGTTATTCTGCAGAAGCACTGCTAGTTGAAGCAAACACACCCTCCTGCCAAGTGCAAATCAATACTTTTGGCTTTTGACCATTAGAATTGTAAGCCTCTAAAAGAATAATGTTTTTTGACGTCAATGTTTTTTTGACATCAAATTAAAACCGGTATAAAAAAAAGACAAATAAATCTCAAGGGCTAAACAATTGAGAGCCACACAAGAATCACACCATGACACCAGCTGATGAAGGAACTCTGCTGGAATCAGAATATATCAGGCCCAAATAAAATGATAATCTTTAACAGATTAACTTGTACCTATCAGCACTGAAACAATATGAAAATATTGCAGATTTCTTTTGGCCAAAACAGACTTTGTCTTGTCAAAATCAAAACAGATGACCTGTACCGAGGCTTTAGGCTCCTGTTTCTAGTTAATGATGGCAGGAATGGATGGTAAGATGTGCAAAAACATCCTCCACTGAGAGTTGCACATCCCAATTCTTAACCATGTCTCTTTGGTCTTATTTTACTGTCTTTAATTTCAAGTATTTTTTAAACTTATAAGCTAACACTTCAGGATGTTTCACTGTTTATTCCATTCATTCACTCCCATTTACTCCGATTTTGTGCTAATATTTAGCATCATTTTAGGAAGATTCTATTTTATTCATCCTAACCTCACACTCTCTCAAGAACTAGAAAGATGTGCAATCATCAACACCTTGCATTGCTCCTCAGCAATAGCACAGCTGCTTTTCCTTCTGCCCAGAAAGAGGGCAGAAATATCTGCCTGTGTATCATCACACAGTTTGCTTCAGCTCTGTCAAACAATCTTCTCAGGGCTGTCTCCCACCTGTATAATCTAAAAGCTAAAACCAGCCCCTGTGGGGTTGGTTGGCAGCTACAAAATCCTCAGCAGAGCCCATGGTCTGCAGAAATTTAAATCCTCTTGGGAATACCCAGTGCAAACATGTTTGATTTTCCTGATAGCCTATCAGCAAGCTTTAAATGTGGGTGGCAGAAGTATAAATGAAAAGGTATACATGTATAAATTTTCAATAAATGAGACTATCCAAGTGGAAGGAAAAGAATCTAAAAAAGGGAATCCTACAGTATTCACTGCAGCAATATTGTCTAAACATATATTACCGCTATCTGAAGACAGTTTAAACCTGGCAGGAAAAAAAGCTCTATATGAATCTTTAATCTTTTAATATGATACAGAAGTATGATAAAAAATACACAGCTGGTGGCATCCCCACCCAAAAACCCCACGAGAGAACAGCAGGAGGACATTTTAAGAGTTGAATAGACTGGAAGTTATTTGTTAAGGGCTATGAAATTAGATCTTCTGCAATTTTATTAAGGAGTGTTTATAAATTCTCTGGCACTGTGACAGCTTTGGAATGGTCACTTCAGGTACAGTCAGGTTTGCTCTTTTCACACAAAAAAATATGAGACCTGAAAATGAGAAAATGTGCTGGCAATGAACTGAAGTGGGACAGTGGAAAGGAGACTTTATGTCAAAAAATCCATGGGACAAGAGAAGATAATGATGTGGGACAGCTTTCTGATCTTTCCAAGTGCTGAACTGCAGTGTAGAAAACATCAAATTAGGCTCGTAAAGGAGCAGGATTTCCAGCACTGTGGAAGTATCACCAAAGCTAGGCTGGTGAATGAAAAAGGAGAATAAAAGGATTTTTGAAAAAAGGAAAATGAAGGTTTTTTGGCAAATCGGGGTTTGTCCCGAGATCTGCCTTGAAGTTGTGGCCGTAATTTGCTGTTCCCTTAATTTATCATAAGCAGTGTCTCTCTGCTACTGCTGTCATTTGCCTCCCAGATTCTGAGGGAAGCTTTGGAGCACAGCCTCCATTCAAACAGCTCAGAGTGTTAGAGGTATGAGCACAGACTATTTCAGGTGCTGTAATTTGATTTTCTTCATTTTTCTGGACTTTTTGGAGTCCCACCTCCCTGCTGAGGATGCTTCTGGATTTGTTTCAAAAGCTACTGAGCAGGGAATGCTCAACCCTGAACTGCATGAGTCTTGCCTGAAAGATCTTTCCCTCAGGTGCCTGGATTTCACCTCCAGAAAAAAAGATATTCATTACTCAGGACAGAATTCAAACAGGTATGTAAGTCATTAAATGCAAAATCCTTTTGGGATAATTGCTAGAGATGAACTCAAGTGTGTTGAATCACTAAAGTTTAACACGTCTTCTGTCTTCACGATGCAAGACATCATTTTGCAAGAACAAATTAAATTTAAAAAGTAAGTATAAAGACCTTCACCTGCCTCAAAATCTTCAGCAATACCAGCCCACAGCAAACCCCCTATAAATACTTTTTTTTTTCAGTGTGACTTTTGCTTGTTTTCTACACTAAACATAATTGTTTCCCTAAATTGAGGACATGTTGATCTTACCTCACCCAGGAATTAAGAGCAGCCTGTCTTTCTTTAATAATAACTTCCACCTACCAAAGCCAGCACACGTGGCAGATTCATCAAATTCATTCTTCAGGTACACGAAGGAAGAAAATTTCGAGTCCAACTCAATTCTCGTGGACATTAATCTGCAGCCTTGGAGACTGCTCTCTTACCATCCTAATAACTCAAGGCTTGCTTAATAATGTGAATCACTGCAGAAAGCTTCAAACGATCATCTTTTCCCCTGCATACCCCATGGAAAAGGTGTAATTTTGCCCGGGGCTAAATAGGCTTTCAAGGAAAACACTGTGCCCTTTGTTGTCAGGAGCAACCACACTCGTGCAGGCAGAGAGAGCAGTGGGAGAGAAAGATGGCACTGCTGTGAGATGCACTGACTCAGCTGCAGAGGTGGGATGGGATGCTCTGGGATGCTCTGGGATGCTCTGGGATGCTCTGGGATGCTGTGTGTGGGCTGGCCTGGCAGCTGGCACTGCAGGTCACCCTCAGAGCCAAGGGGAGGGCAGGGGGATGCTCCCAGCCCCAGCTGGGCACTCACACTCTGTGCTAAGCACACCTCCCCACCAGGTCACCTGCCAAGGATTTCTGGAGTTCTGCCAGCCCTGGTGAAGCTGGCAAGGGAGAACCAGCCCTGCACCCTGTGCTGTGCTGCAAGGCCAAATATTTAGGAGCCCAGTTCACTTTTAGGGGGTGAGTTAACCTCTTTCTCCTTGGCAGACAAAGAAAGCTTATGTGGTAGCAATGCATTTCTTCCCATCTCCTGCTCACTTAACAAGCTCTCTCAAGGTTTCATTTCTCTCCAGTTCAAGTCTGAAGCAATGTGCTATTAAGGTGTAGCAAGCTGTATCTCAGGGTAAAAGTGCTTTTATCTCAAGCTGGCCGTCTTCAGATGCACTTAGGATACAAAGCTGATGTAACTATCTGGATTTGCCTACAGTTGCTTTGGTCCTGGCCACCTGAGCAGGACCAGGTGACAGCAACTTTGCCAGATCTGCCATCTGAGCACGTGTGACACGAGCAGAGGGGACACTG